CATTGGCCCTGCTGATAAAAACTTGGGGCTGACTATTATGGATAGCAGCTGGTATCAGAACCAGTTGTTTAATCTTCTTAATAATCGTAATCTTTATGAAAGAGACCCCTATATTGATGTCTATGTCTCCCTTAGGCATCTTAAACAATTCGCCGCACGTCTTGATCAAGAAGAACACAGAACTTTTGTTCGTGAAACTGCGGAAATAATGGAGGACCTATATAGAAAAAATAGTAACTATTTTACAATACCAGTTATGTATCTTCTTCCAAAGATTCATAAGTCGCCTATTAGCGTCCGCCCTATAGTGCCCTCCTATCCCTGGTTTACACATACGATCAGTGAGTTTGTCGATGAACAACTTCGCGATTACTTGGTGGTATTCCGCCAAGAACTACCCGATACACCCACATTGATTCGTAAACTAGAACAATTCCATTTCAATCCAAGCTATGATTATTATGTCGCCACATATGATGTCATAAACATGTATGGAAGTATAAATGTAAATAATGCTATAGAAACTATCATTAATTACTTTGATAATGATCCAAGAGAAAACCACATCAGAGATATGATGAATCTTGCGTATTGGGTTAATAAAAACTGTATTTTATCCGATGGTAAAAAACTATACAGACAAGTTACAGGACTCGCAATGGGGACGCCTATGGCGCCAACTTTTGCTCGCCTGTATGCATGCTGCGTAGAGAAAGGCTACATATTTAAAAATATACCCATTGACCAAGTTTACTTGGACATTGATGAGGATACTTTTACACAACTTGACTTTCTTGGCAAACAAAAATTCGACTTGCAAATACTTAGATACATTGATGATGGGCTTGCCCTATTCGGTGTTCCTAGATACCAAGGAAATGTAGTTTACATGACCGAGGTAGCATCAGATCTTAAAGGCTACTTTAATGAAGCACTTTATAAGATCTATGAAGAAGCAAACGACTTGAACATTACTATAGACCATGGACTCCATGGCCGCCAAGTAGCAATGCTTGACTTAAATATTACTATTGTTACTGAGAACTCAATTCAACGTATTGACATTAGTCCTCATGACAAACCCATGAATAAACACCTATACACTAGTCCAGATACTTATTTCCCTAATAAATATATTTTCAACTGGATTAATGGTGAAAACCAGCGTTTAATCCGGAACTCCGGCTATGCTAGTTATCACAAAGTTGCAAGACAGAACTTTATTAAGTTCCTCATACACCGCAACTATCCTGAACCCGTCATTCAAGAACAACTCGGAATGCACAGTTACGAAGAACGACATCAGTTGTTGTATGGTCGTACTGCTCAGAGCCAGGCTCCCGCCGATTATAATCCACCATCAGATAAAGATGAGGATGATGATATTGAAAAGAGATTCTTTTTAAAGAATATTCCTGGTAGACACAAAGTTGAACGCTTTGGTCGTAACGTAGTTCAGGCTATCCTAAAATCCAATCCCACTAAATTTAAAGATGTTAGTGCAAACTGGATAATCTATAGAGGTTCAAACATCCGCGATGAGTTGAACAAGTATAATAGAAAGATCTTAGGTCAACGCCAAATCTCGGCGAGGCTCTAAGGATGACATACAATGAGTATTAATCGTCTATCTAGACGTTATACCCAGAACCCCATATCTTACACTTGGTTTTAATTGAATATATATTTTATGGGATTTAATAGAGTTAGGTAATCTTAGGTTTTTTGAGGGAGTCTTAGCGGTAAGGGCTAGACTTGATCCTCTTTGACCCCGATAAAAAACCCTTAAGAAACCCTAAATAACCCTAAAAAAAAATCCCTAAAATCCCTAAACCCTTAATTGAAGGGTATCCTTCAATGTAATCCCCTAAATAAACACGTTTATCGTACTCCCCGGGTCCTAAAGTAGACCCTACATACCTCACAAACAACTTTTAAACACTTTTTGCTGGAAAAAGAATTATTTCCTTTTTTGGGAAACAATACCGGTTCTCTAGGCTTTCCCTAGACTCGGAACGGCTCGTATCTAAACAGGTTTTAGTCGGCTCGGCCCGGATGTAAAACTGCAAAGTTGTTTTGAAAGTCGAAACTTTAATTTAAAGTTTCGACTTTACCCCCTATGATAGTTTCACCCATGACCATCCTTTTAAGTTTGTCGACTTTCAGACAGACTTGGAGTCATCCGGAAACAACTTGAACCACATCTTTTTGTTGAAAGACAAGGTCCCCTTCGTTCTACTTCCCGTTAAAAAGACGTCAACAGAACTTAAGTCAACTGACACCGGGATAGAAAGTATGGCACATGTACTCAAACTCGAAAGATAATTGGTTCATATCATAATAATCAAGATATGTCTATCCGTAAACAAATACTGCGGATTAGAAATAGTTCACCCTTCTCAATGAGAGAAAGAGAATGGTGAAAAAGTATATAAGAAGACAAGGCTGAAGAGAAAAAATCGAAACAAGCACTTGTCCCAACGTCTTCTTTCTTTTACACACTCTCAGTCCCTTAAACACCTTTTTCACACCCCTCCTATTATAAAAAAACCCTAAAAAACCCTAAAAAAACCCTAAAAAACCCTAAAAAACCCTAAAAAAACCCTAAAAAACCCTAAAAAACCCTAAAAAACCCTAAAAAACCCTAAAAAACCCTAAAAGACCCTACATACCTCACAAACAACTTTTAAACACTTTTTGCTGGAAAAAGAATTATTTCCTTTTTTGGGAAACAATACCGGTTCTCTAGGCTTTCCCTAGACTCGGAACGGCTCGGATCTAAACAGGTTTTAGTCGGCTCGGCCCGGATGTAAAACTGCAAAGTTGTTTTGAAAGTCGAAACTTTAATTTAAAGTTTCGACTTTACCCCCTATGATAGTTTCACCCATGACCATCCTTTTAAGTTTGTCGACTTTCAGACAGACTTGAAGTCATCCGGAAACAACTTGAACCACATCTTTTTGTTGAAAGACAAGGTCCCCTTCGTTCTACTTCCCGTTAAAAAGACGTCAACAGAACTTAAGTCAACTGACACCGGGATAGAAAGTATGGCACATGTACTCAAACTCGAAAGATAATTGGTTCATATCATAATAATCAAGATATGTCTATCCGTAAACAAATACTGCGGATTAGAAATAGTTCACCCTTCTCAATGAGAGAAAGAGAATGGTGAAAAAGTATATAAGAAGACAAGGCTGAAGAGAAAAAATCGAAACAAGCACTTGTCCCAACGTCTTCTTTCTTTTACACACTCTCAGACCCTTAAACACCTTTTTCACACACCTCCTATTATAAAAAAACCCTACTTCATTCTCACCACTATGTCGAACATGAATATCCAAGGATCATCCGGTCGCCCCCAAGGTGGTCAAGACATCGCCTCCCTTTTGGCTCGCTCCGCCGAGACCAACCGAATGCGAGATGCCGCCATCATTGCTGCCAGTGCCGCCCAAGCCCTTGCCCAAGCCCAAGACCCTGATGACTCCGAGATGGGAGTGGATCGCCCCCCGGCTGGATCCACCACCCTCGATGACCTTATTATACGTTTGGGTTTAGCAACCCAGACGGAAGGTTCCTCTCTCCACCCTGGCAGTTATCTTCCCTCTTTTAAGCGGCCCCTTCATGTGCAGAGGATATAAAAAGGCATATAAAAAATATCCAAAGCCCAAGGAACGGAGTGTTTACTTCCATAACTGACATATCTCTTCATAGTGGGCAACAGAACACAGAATAAAATAGCAATAGACAGCACAAGAATTTTTAAAATGTAATCTCTCCCCTGTATTTCGCCCCAAAGATACAGTTGAGAGTACAAGTGCTTTAGATGATGACATACAAGAACTACTCTGGCGAATCTTGCAGTGAGGGTTACAGGTTAATAGTAGATGGACATATTCAAGAGTGTGGTGTGCGAAAAATAAGAAGACTTTGTTGTTTGGAGAATAGGTTGGTGTTTAGTAGGATAGTTAAACAAAAAATGTTACAATGGTTGTCTTATATGCTTGGTATCATATATACATTCTCATCCCATAGTCGCTATGGATATTGTCGAGATCTACAGAGATGTAACAAACACCATATGATAACTTGGACCTGAAAGGCCTCCTAGGTGAATGTTTTAAAAAAATATGGGTAATGCAATAATGGTGAGGGTGCATGCATTGTGGAACGTCTCAGATGAAGTTATCGTGGTTTTTATAATGTTTGATGTAACATACTTTGTAGGAAGTTACGATTGTTATAATATTTGTTGATATGCGGCCTCCTATACAGATCGTTGGTAAACATGCCAATGGTGAAAAAATAAATGTCATAAAGAGTGCATGCATTGTAGAACATATTAGATATAGTTATTGTAATTTTCGTAATGTTAAATATAAGCGGCCCCTTCATGTGCAGAGGATATAAAAAGGCATATAAAAAATATCCAAAGTCCAAGGAACGGAGTGTTGACTTCCATAACTGGCATATCTCTTCATAGTGGGCAACAGAACACAGAATAAAATAGCAATAGACAGCACAAGAATTTTTAAAATGTAATCTCTCCCCTGTATTTCACGACAAAGATACAGTTGAGAATACAAGTGCTTTAGATGATCACATACAAGAACTACTCTGTCGAATCTTGCAGTGAGGGTTACAGTTTAATAGTAGATGGACATATTCAAGAGTTTGGTGTGCGAAAAATAAGAAGACTTTGTTGTTTGGAGAATGTAGTTGTGTTTAGTAGGATAATCGCGCAAGGAATGTTACAGTGGTTGTTTTAAATGGTTGATATCATACATACACTCTCCTCTAATGGACGCGGTGGATATCGTCAAGATCTGCAGAGATGTAACAAACACCATATGATAATTTGGACTTGAAAGGCCTCCTAGGTGGAAGTGTCGAAGACATGTTACATTTTTAAAAAGTTCATGCTATATATACAACCACAAATGCCAACTGTTGACAATTGGATAGTTTTTAAAATATCTACTCTTCATCTGTCTCAACAACTACCAAAACTTTACATCTGGAGAGTACAATTTAGGCAATTCCTCGATCGTGAACCCCATGGCAATTAACTTCTGCTTTTGTTTGTTGTTGGTAAATTTGTCTCGACTATAGTTACTGTCACCGTTTGCAGGTATCTTATACAGCAGTCCAACAATAATGTCCTCTTCGTACCTCTTGAGCAGATGACATCCGTCGAAAAGGTAGTTGGTTGCATATTCATGCTTCTTGTCAAACGAACATGTTGTCCATTTAATTTCGTCTTTATCTATGACGATTATACCCGAGGAGCTTTTATCTTTAGGGTACCTTTTCCACATAACATCCTCAGCATCTTTATCATCCTCAGCATCTTTATCATCTTCAGCATCGTTATCACCCTCAGCATCTTTGTCATCCTCAGCATCGTTATCACCCTCAGCATCTTTGTCATCTTCAGCATCTTTATCACCCACCGCATCTTTGTCATCCTCAGCATCTTTATCGCCCTCAGCATCTTTATCATCCTCACATGTGCTCTCATCTTTCTGTGGCAAGCTTTGCTTATGCTCATGCGGTTTAAATCCCATAGCAAACAACTTCTCTTTTTCCTTCTGGCTAAGAGAATGACACTCTACATTCTCTGCAGCAATATGGTCATCAGTCATCAAGCCGATTACAGTGTCTTTTTTGCGCATCTTGAGAATGTGCATTCCATTTACAAGTACATTCTCGGAATATTCCAAGTACTTGTTAAGTTTTTTCCATATCACCTTGGATTTATCTGTTGGTCCTTCTACTGGTACTTCTTCTTCTACTTCGATCTCCTCGTTGAAAAGCGTCTTTCTCTCTTCATCAGACAATGGTTGAAGTTTCATCTTGCTAAGCATGGAGCGTTCCAAGATATCCAACTCTGGAACATCACCGACACCGCGCAGAGCATCAAGCGTAAACAGGCCAACGTATGTATTCTTTCCAGATAGCCTGACAATGTACTTGCCATTCATCGTAAACTTAGTTGCATACTCAAGCATGTCGTTATTAGGATGAATCATCCATCCTCTGTCCTTCGCACGTGCTATGTCTTTCTCTGATCTAATGTTATGCACCGTTGTGGCCAGTGCAAATGTATGTTCATCTTTTCCATCCTTAGAAACGTCTACATTAGAAGATGGCTCTGCATTTTTGGGCATCTCTGAATGCCTTTTCTTTCGAGAAGTCTTCTTCTCATCATCCTTAGATGACTTTTTATGAGATAGTTTTTCATCAGGGTTATCCTTAGAGGTATCATCTCCAGATTCTACATCAGGTCTGTTATTGGACTTGCCATCATCAGAGTCTTTATCATCAGGGGAATCATCGTCAGAGCCAGCATCATCAGACGTATCACCATCATCTGTATCATCGTCAGAATTCTCATCAGCAGAAGACTCTTCTATTTTTTCTACATCAGCAGGAGTTGCCTCTTGGAGTCCCATCTTTTGTAATATACGTACCTCTTTGTCAGATAATTTCGGTACAGGAAGATTTTTCCCCATGAGCTCAGGTGGACACAATACAATGTAGAGGTCCTTTTCCTTCAGCTTAATAATGTACTTGCCATTTACAGTATAGTTTTTTGCATACAGGAAAGCTGGATTAGTTGCATAACGCATCCATATGCCTGTATTAGCGAGTGGTACATTTTTCTTGGACGTTATGTCAACTACCTTTGGACTCAACGGAAAGGAGACGGCAATTATATCTTCTTCATCATCATCGGACGGCTCCTCATCCGATGACTCCTGCTTGTTTCTCTTTCGCTTCTTTGGTTCTTCATCCTCGGAAGTCATATCATCATCTGAAGGGACAAACTCAGGAGTATGTGTCTTCTTGGTTATCTTGGAAGACTTGGTACGCTTGTTGGCAGGTGCCTTATTGTTACTGCTTTTCATATGACCTTTATGCTGCTCTCGATGACGTCCACAGTATGTTTCACCAAGTTTGGCTACACTACCACAATTAGCGCCCTTAATGGTTGTGCCTTGACACTTGCGCGCAGGATCGTGGACATAACAATGCATGCCTTCATCATCAACTTCCTTCATGCATTTGCGCTTGGACTTGGTGCACTTTGCACCACAAAAGTAGTATCTCTCTACTCCCTCATCCTCATCAAGCGCCTTAAAGATCTTATTTGCATCTTTCTTGGTAAACTCCACTCCCTTCTTAGAAGAAAATGTCTCGAAGGCCTTGGTGATGAGCTCGATTGTAAGCTGAACGTACTGCATGTTTTTGGATATGAACGATATAGATTGTACTTGTGGTATGGTGGGTGTGAATGAGCTTTCAGTTTATGTGTGGTAGATTGCAGCTGCTTAGTACACTGATATAAAGAATTGCAATAAAAGATGGTTGTATAGGTATGGATGGTTGTATAGATATGGATAATGGTTGGTTGGTTACTAGATAAGATAAAGATTAAGCAAGAGGGAAGTGGAGTCCTTTATTTATACTAATTCATGGGACACTGCCACACTGGATATTAATAGCGCTTGCTTATTAACACTGCTTGGCGCTTAGTAACAAAAGAGTTTTAAAAAGGCATCTAAGTGGTTAATAACGTAGTGTTCCTCGTATGACGTAGATCTTGCTTATTAAGACTGCTTGGCGTTAAAGACGGGGTTTAAAAATGGTTAAGAATGTAGTATTCTTTTATGACGTAGGTTTGTACATGTGTTTATGTATTCTTTTATGACGTAGGTTTGTACATGTGTTTATCCTCTTTGTTAAATAAAAAGGAATGTTGTAGAATAGCATAGAATAGCATCCGATCTACTACAATAATACCATGACTTTTAATAATAGATACCGGTGCATATTAGCGTCTAGGCAGTTAATACCGTATCTCAACGCTGACTAAATAGGCTATGTATGTCTATTCTTTTAAAAACCTGCAATAAGTCTACAAATTACCATTAACATCCATTTGTCGCTTCGTACTACGTACCTCAAAGCGCAATGGAAAGACCGGGTTGCATTATTACTGCTTGATCCATTGGTGTGTCCTCATCAACATTAACATCAACATCACCATGAAGATTAATACCAAGAAATTTGTTCTGGAGTTGTGCCATTGTATTTCCATCCTCCACTAGCGCACCAACATCAACATATCCCATTGGTTGCTCAACGTCGTTCTCTGTTGTCGGATACTCGAATCCTTCGCGAAGCCAAGCTGTATGAATTGGTTCTGCAGAAATCTTCAACAAAGCAACCATCTTTTTCATGTTTAAGAGTAACAAAGATAACTTCAACTGCAAATTATATGTTTGTTTCTTATCCACCAACACAGGAGTACGGTTGTTGTGTTTCTCAAATGTGGAACCAAGGTCTGCAAACAGAGATTCCATCTGCGAGCGGAAACTACCAAAGGTGGTATTGTATAACGCTTCTTCCTGTGTAAGTTCCTTGTTCTTCTGTTTACGGTATGGATGAGCGAAATTTTGGACTCTAAGAATATCAGACTCATCTATAAGCCTCCTTAAGAACTGTGGATACCCTCCATCGAGAGCAATGCAATCCATCTCATGCACTCTCTTGTCCAACTTCATCGTTAGCAGCATTGTTCCATCAGCATTGTTCTTGCAAGATGCAGATTTGGAGACAAATAAAGCCATGCCATTACAATCCATTGCTACCTGTGTGCGTAATCCTGACTTTTTCAGCTTGTAAGAGTACATATCAGCACTACTCTCACCTTTGTATGTTGCTCTTGTATCATGACCATCAAGATGCAATGTAACATGCTTAAATAATGGAGGATTCTTTTCCTTTGCAGACAAAAGGCGTATTTTAATTGTGGAGAACATTGTTGCAATACAGTTGGTGATGTACTTGTTGTGCAAAGTATATTCTTTCTTATAAAACACAGAGTGCATTGCATGAAAACTACTTTTTGGCATGTGTGGTTCCATTGCTTCCATAGACAGTCCTTTGACAAGATGATAGAGCATTAAAAGACCTTTCTCCACTTCTTTGTATGGACCAGGATACTTAACCTTTGGCCAGATGTCAACAAGAAAGAAGTACACTGGAATAGGACCAAGGCGTCGATTTAGGGTTTCTTTTATTTCTGGCATATACCCAATTTCCTTGCTTACAGTACGATGATTATTACGTGGTGTAATTGTTGGCCATCCAGCGTTGAGGAAAGTCCAATGGTCATCAAGCAGTTGTTGGAAGTGTTTTGTTAGATCCATAATAATATTTATGTATTGGATTGTCATGACGTTAACCAACAATAACAATTTTTTAAAAAGGCTTATACTTAACTGTATACACAACAGCATGTAGGATGGTATCTATCATACAGCAAGCACATAGTTGAGAATACAAATATATTTTTATATTTTATTCGGTAGCGGCCCCTTCATGTGCAGAGGATATAAAAAGGCATATAAAAAATATCCAAAGTCCAAGGAACGGAGTGTTGACTTCCATAACTGGCATATCTCTTCATAGTGGGCAACAGAACACAGAATAAAATAGCAATAGACAGCACAAGAATTTTTAAAATGTAATCTCTCCCCTGTATTTCACGACAAAGATACAGTTGAGAATACAAGTGCTTTAGATGATCACATACAAGAACTACTCTGTCGAATCTTGCAGTGAGGGTTACAGTTTAATAGTAGATGGACATATTCAAGAGTTTGGTGTGCGAAAAATAAGAAGACTTTGTTGTTTGGAGAATGTAGTTGTGTTTAGTAGGATAATCGCGCAAGGAATGTTACAGTGGTTGTTTTAAATGGTTGATATCATACATACACTCTCCTCTAATGGACGCGGTGGATATCGTCAAGATCTGCAGAGATGTAACAAACACCATATGATAATTTGGACTTGAAAGGCCTCCTAAGTAGATTGTGGATAAACACCACTGTGATCAAGAAAGAAATATTGTAAATTGTGCAAAGGATGGTGGAAGTTTTTAAAAAGATGGGTAATATATCTGGTGAATCTCATTGGAAGGGACGAGGATAATATTACATGTGTATTCCATATATAAAAGCTTTATTTGTGCAAGTGGTATATCTACAGTTTTTAAAATTCTTGATCTACTCTTCTGCGGTCTCAAATGTTACTTCAAGAGGCTTCTTTTCTTCCATCGTACTTTTCTCTTTGGCTTGAATACTATCTAATACACTTTGCACTATGGTTTTTCTGTTGTTAGATCCTTCTTTTGCAAACTTACATAATATATCGGAATGTGGTTCGCGGGAACCAAACTTATCCATGTGCCATGTTTCGTAGTTGGAATAATCTTTCTCCAACAAACCTAGGTGAAAAATTAGTTCTTTTTCTTCTGCATTACCATCTGCCGAAACGTATTCCTCGCGGAGTTCTTCTTCGATAGCTGTTATTTTGCTATATACTTCTCCCATTGCCTTCAGAAAATCATGATGGTCTTTTGTAGTGTAAACACTTGAGGCATTCACATTTTCGCTTTCCATAGGTCCACCATCTTCTAGAGTTTTCTTAACATCCGACTCTTGCACCTCATCATCTACTTTTTCTACAAGTTCATCTAAAGTTTCCTTAATATTCGACTCTTGCACCTCATCATCTATTTTTTCTACCGGTTCACCTTTCTCTGTCGACCTATCCTTAGACCATTGTGGCTTAAAGCCCATAGCGAAGATCTTTTCTTTTTCCTTTTGGTTAAGATTATCATAGTCGACATTCTCTGCACTAATGTGGTCATCAGTCACCAAGCCAACTACAATGTTTTGCTTGCGGATCTTGAGAATGTGCTTTCCATTTACAAGTACATTCTTGGAATACTCCAATTGCTGCTTGTGAAACCTTTTCCATTTCATCTTGGATATATCTGTCGGTCCTTCCACTGGTAGTTCCTCTTCTACTTCGACCTCCTCGTTGAAAAGCATCTTTCTCTCTTCATCAGACATTTCTTGAAGTTTCATCTTGCTAAGCATGGAGCGTTCCAAGATATCCATCTCTGGAACATCACCACCGCCACGCAGATGATCAAGCGTAAACAGGCCAACGTATGTATTCTTTCCACATAGCTTGACAATGTACTTAGCCTTCATCGTAAAGTTAGTTGCATACTCAAGCATGTCGTTATTAGGATGAACCATCCATCCTCCATCCTTTGCAAGTGGTATGTCTTTCTCTGATCTAATGTTACGCACCGTTGTGGCCAGTGCAAATGTGTGTTCATCTTTTTCATCCTTAGAAACATCTACATTAGAAGATGGCTCTGCATTTTTGGGCATCTCTGAATGCCTTTTCTTTCGAGAAGTCTTCTTCTCATCATCCTTAGATGGCTTTTTATGAGATAGTTTTTCATCAGGGTTATCCTTAGAGGTATCATCTCCAGATTCTACATCAGGTCTGTTATTGGACTTGCCATCATCAGAGTCTTTATCTTTAGAGGAATCATCGTCAGAGTCAGCATTATCAGACGTATCACCATCATCTGTATCATCGTCAGAATTCTCATCAGCAGAAGACTCTTCTATTTTTTCTACATCTGCTGAAGTTGCCTCTTGAAGACCCATCTTGGCCAATATGCGTGCCTCTTTCTCAGATATTTCTGGCGCAGGGAGATTCTTGCCCATGAGCTTAGGTGGACACAATGCAATGTAGAGATTCTTTTCCTTTAGCCTAATAATGTACTTGCCATTTACAGTAAAGCTTTTTGCATACAGGAAAGCTGGATTAGTTGCATAACGCGTCCATATACATGTATTAGCGAGTGGTACATTTTTCTTGGACGTTATGTCAACTACCTTTGGACTCAACGGAAAGGAGACGGCAATTATATCTTCTTCATCATCATCATCGGACGGCTCTTCATCCGATGACTCCTGCTTGTTTCTCTTTCGCTTCTTTGGTTCTTCATCCTCGGAAGTCATATCGTCATCGGAAGACACAAACTTAGAAGTATGTGTCTTCTTTAAAGCCTTGGAAGACTTGGTACGCTTGTCGACAGGTGCGTTGTTGTTACTACGTTTTATATAACCTCTATCTTGATCTTGATGACGTCCACAGTATGTTTGACCAAGTTTGGCTACACTACCACAATTAGCACCCTTAATAGTTGTGCCTTGACACTTGCGCGCAGGATCGTGGACATAACAATGCATGCCTTCATCATCAACTTCCTTCATGCATTTGCGCTTGGACTTGGTGCACTTTTCTCCACAAAAGTAGTATCTCTCTACTTCCTCATCCTCATCAAGCGCCTTAAAGATCTTATTTGCATCTTTCTTGTTAAACTCCACTCCCTTCTTAGGAGGCCATCCATGTTCGGCTCCACCAACCATAGACTACAGTATAAAAATATCTGTCAACACCTATTAAAACAGTGTGTTCCTTGAGAGTACAACAAATCTCATCAGCTTTTTCCTTCCACCAGTCTCCATTTTCTACATTCACCACCACTACTTTGTAACATCATCTACTTTAGCTGAGAAAGCCTTGGACATGATCATCTCATATTGGAAAGGAAATTACTATCTGTAATATCCAGGATCCAATATGAGATGATCATGTCCAAGGCTTTCTCAGCTAAAGTAGATGATGTTACAAAGTAGTGGTGGTGAATGTAGAAAATGGAGACTGGTGGAAGGAAAAAGCTGATGAGATTTGTTGTACTCTCAAGGAACACACTGTTTTAATAGGTGTTGACAGATATTTTTATACTGTAGTCTATGGTTGGTGGAGCCGAACATGGATGGCCTCCTTAGAGGAGAATGTCTCAAAGGCCTTGGTGATGAGCTCGATTGTAAGCTGAACGTACTTCATGTTTTTGGATATGAATAATATGGATTGTACTTGTGGTATGGTGGGTGTGAATGAGTTTTCAGTTTATGTGTGGTAGATTGCAGCTGCTTAGTACACTGATATAAAGAATTGCAATAAAAGATGGTTGTATAGGTATGGATGGTTGTATAGATATGGATAATTGTTGGTTGGTTACTAGATAAAGATTAAGCAAGAGGGAAGTGGACTCCTTTATTTATACTAATTCAGGAACACTGCCACAATGGACATTAATAGCGCTTGCTTATTAGCACTGCTTGGCGCTTAGTAACAAAAGAGTTTTAAAAAGGCATCTAAGTGGTTAATAATGTAGTGTTCCTCGTATGACGTAGATCTTGCTTATTAAGACTGCTTGGCATTAAAGACGGGGTTTAAAAATGGTTAAGAATGTAGTATTCTTTTATGACGTAGGTTTGTACATGTGTTTATCCTCTTTGTTAAATAAAAAGGAATGCTGTAGAATAGCATAGAATAGCATCCGATCTACTACAATAATACCATGGCTTTTAATAATAGATACCGGTGCATATTAGCGTCTTGGCAGTTAATACCGTATCTTAAAGCTGACTAAATAGGCCATGTATGTCTATTCTTTTAAAAACCTGCAATAAGTCTACAGATTACCATTAACATCCATTTGTCGATTCGTACTTCTAAGCTCAATGGAAAGGCCGGGTTGCATTATTACTGCTTGATCCATTGGTGTGTCCTCATCAACATTAACATCACCATGAAGATTAATACCAAGAAATTTGTTCTGGAGTTGTGCCATTGTATTTCCATCCTCCACTAGCGCACCAACATCAACATATCCCATTGGTTGCTCAACGTCGTTCTCTGTTGTCGGATACTCGAATCCTTCGCGAAGCCAAGCTGTATGAATTGGTTCTGCAGAAATCTTCAACAAAGCAACCATCTTTTTCATGTTTAAGAGTAACAAAGATAACTTCAACTGCAAATTATATGTTTGTTTCTTATCCACCAACACAGGAGTACGGTTGTTGTGTTTCTCAAATGTGGAACCAAGGTCTGCAAACAGAGATTCCATCTGCGAGCGGAAACTACCAAAGGTGGTATTGTATAACGCTTCTTCCTGTGTAAGTTCCTTGTTCTTCTGTTTACGGTATGGATGAGCGAAATTTTGGACTTTAAGAGTATCAGACTCATCTATAAGCCTCCTTAAGAACTGTGGATACCCTCCATCGAGAGCAATGCAATCCATCTCATGCACTCTCTTGTCCAACTTCATCGTTAGCAGCATTGTTCCATCAGCATTGTTCTTGCAAGATGCAGATTTGGAGACAAATAAGGCCATGCCATTACAATCCATTGCTACCTGTGTGCGTAATCCTGACTTTTTCAGCTTGTAAGAGTACATATCAGCACTGCTCTCACCTTTGTATGTGCAACAGGCGAAGACTGGGACAGAGAAGTATAGAACGGGGACGAGAGTTGAAGCAGTGATGATTGATGTTATTGCTATGGTACAACTAAATATATATACAAAGTCGCCAACTAGGTTTCTAGGTGTAGTGTCATAGTGAGTCAGAGATGATAGAGAGTGACAAGGAATGACTAACTAGAGAGCAATGATAAACCTAATATGTTGCACCTTCCCCTCTTAAAAAAAAATCCGCTAAGTCCTAAGGCCATGGTCGCGCTTGTACTTGTTGAGGATGTCCTTACAGTGTGCCAGTTCACTCTCTGGTTCCCATGTCCAGTCCTCGCGCGGGTATCCTTGCCATTGTAGAAGGTACTCCATGTTGTTGTTAACCTTCCTATGATCTGCAATGGCCTCGACCTCATACTCTTCCTCGTCTTCAACGATAACCGGTGGTGGCCGTGCTGGTGTTCTTGGTCCTAGCGTCGCAGGTGATGGTTGGTAGCGTCGGAATCGGTCGACGTGGAAGACGGGGTGAATCTTCATGGACGGTGGAAGATCAAGGCGGAAGGAGACCGGGGACAGCTGTTCAACAATGGTGTGGGGGCCGGCAAAGCGAGCCAAGAGTTTCTGCGACGTGCGGGTGCGGTCCGAGGGTAAGGTGATATTCTCAAGGTTAAGGAGAACGTGGTCACCAACCTTGAAATCATGCTCTCGCCGATGGATGTCGGCGTTGGCTGCTTGACGTTCTTGGGCGGCAGCAAGGGACTCCTTAGCGAGGGTGAGGGCTTCGCTTCGAGATTGCACGAACTCGTTAACCGATGGGTTGGGGCCGGGAGTAGGGGTCAACAATGACATGGGCATGTTGGGATGGGCTCCGGAGTTCAAGAAGAACGGGGAGACTCCAGTGGAGGCATTGGTGGCGTTGTTCGTGGCAAATTCGGCGGCGGAAAGTAAGAGGTCCCAGTTAGACTGCCGTTGGTCGACAAAGTTACGGAGCATGGTGATAAGGGTGCGGTTGGCACGCTCGGTCTGGCCATCGGTCTGAGGGTGGAAGGCAGTCGACATGGCAAGGTGGACGTCCATCAGACGGCTCAATTCTTTCCAAAAGCGGCTCGTGAACTTGGTATCGCGGTCGGAGACAATGGTGGTTGGCATGCCGTGCAAGCGGAAAACATGGTCGAAAAAAATGCGTGCAACTTGCGAGGCGGA